CTTTCTGTAGGGTTCTCTGGCCCCCCGAACATGACTGATCTGCCCTTTCCCCAGCGGCTTCTTCTACTCAATCTTCCGAGGCCGTGCAGGAGTCGGGGTGGATGTGCTCTCCCTGCCCGGGGGCCCCGAAGCCGGGGGCTTCGCTCCTCTTCTGGACTTTATGTACACGTCGCGCCTGCGCCTCTCTCCGGCCACCGCGCCAGCCGTTCTCGCGGCCGCCACCTATTTGCAGATGGATCATGTGGTCCAGGCGTGCCACCGCTTCATTCAGGCCAGGTGAGCAGCCCACTCGGTGTTCTCCGTGGAGGAGGTGGTTGGGACCCCAGGTGTCAGGGGCGGAAGCCAAGATGAGAAGATAGCACTAATGTCCACCGCACTTTTCCCAGCTACGAACCTCTGGGCATCTCCCTGCGGCCCCTGGAGGCAGAGCCCCCCACGCCCCCAACGGCCCGTCCACCAGGCAGTCCCAGGTGCTCCGAAGGGCACCCAGACCCACCTACTGAGTCTCGCAGCTGCAGTCAAGGCCTCCCCAGTCCAGGCAGCCCCGACCCCAAGGCCTGCAACTGGAAAAAATACAAGTTCATCGTGCTAAACTCTCAGGCCTCCCAAGCAGGGAGCCTGGTTGGGGAGAGGAGTTCTGGTCAACTTTGCCCCCAAACTGGGCTCCCCAGTGGAGATGAGGCTTCCAGCAGCAGCAGTGGCAGCGAAGAAGGACCCATTCCCGGTCCCCAGAGCAGGTACAGAAACTGGAACCCCAAGAATTCGTCGTGGCTAGCCTCAGCTAGGAGGCAGAGAGCCATGGGCCTGGGCGTCAGGAGCAGGGAGTGAGTGGGTGGGTTCCAGGGACACTAGCCAGGAAGTTCTCTAGCAGAGAAGCTCCCCGCCACGTCATCTCTCCTAACCTTTACTCTACCTAGGCTCTCTCCAACTGCTGTACAGTTCAAATGTGGGGCTCCAGTCAATACCCCCCATCTCACACCCCGGGCCCAAGAAGCCACTGCATCCTCTCCCTCCGGGCGGGCTCGTCCACCACCAGGTGAGAGCTCCTCCTTTTACTTCCTTCTGCGCTTTTGTCCTTGTGGCCGCTCAAAGCCAGTTTGGGCCAAAAGTCCTCGGGAAAAGACCTATTCCAAGTACATACTGCAAATTAGAATCACCTACAGAGCTTTTTAAAATCTCATTGCCCCGGTCAAACCCCATACACCAAAATGTGTAGACGTGGGAACCAGACATCCGTATTTTTCAAAGCTTCCAGTGAGGAGTAGTGTTTGGGAACTTCTGGCCCATTCCCATCCAGGGCTGAGTGGCCAGCCCAGAGTTCGGCCGGGCCGTTCTGGCAAGGTGTCATCCAGCAGTGCCAGAACAGAGAGAGAAAGAGAAACCTCTACCCACTAGTACGGGCCTCCACCGACCATCACTGCTAGTGAGGGGAGATTAGCAGAGTACCCTGGAGACAGGCAGACATGGAGCCAGATCTTGGCTTCCCCTCTTGCTAACCCTGTGACCTCGAGCCAGTCAGATGAGCCCCAGAAGTCTTAGAGTAAATTGAGAAAAAGAAAACCTATTACTGTGTGATTTGAAAATTCCCTGATGTTGTTGTCATTACCCATCCCCATCTCCACCCCCCCTTCCCAGGAAGTGAATTTTTCAGCTGCCAGAACTGTGAAGCTGTGGCTGGGTGCTCATCAGGGCTGGACCCCTTGGCTCCTGGGGATGAGGACAAGCCCTACAAGTGTCAGCTCTGCCGGTCTGCCTTCCGCTACAAGGGCAACCTGGCCAGTCACCGCACGGTGCACACAGGTAGGGGAGGAACTGAGGGGAGAGGCCCCTGGCCTTCCTGCCCACAGGTGTCCTAGGGCGGAGTCCCCGACCTCTCCTTCTCCCTGCCTCCAGGGGAAAAGCCCTACCACTGCTCCATCTGCGGGGCCCGCTTTAACCGGCCGGCGAACCTGAAAACGCACAGCCGCATCCATTCGGGAGAGAAGCCCTACAAGTGCGAGACGTGTGGCTCCCGCTTTGTACAGGTACGGAGCCAGCCTCAGAACTGGCTTAAGGACAACTTTGCAAGAGGACAGTGGGGGCCCTTTGGGGAGGGGTCTTTCTGTCTTTCCCAGAGGCCTAGTCTGAGGTCACCTCCCCTCCCAGGTAGCACATCTGCGCGCGCACGTGCTGATCCACACCGGGGAGAAGCCCTATCCTTGCCCCACATGCGGGACTCGCTTCCGGCACCTACAGACCCTCAAAAGCCATGTTCGCATCCACACGGGGGAGAAGCCTTACCACGTGAGTACCTGGCCCAAAGCCTTACACCACTTACCTCCCGTTTCCCTAGGGGCTGGGCTCCGAGAGGCACGAGAGGAGCAGGGCCCAGCGGGCCCTAGAACTCTTCCAACTGGGCGGAGTCCTGGGAGAGACCCTGTGTGCAAGGGGTGGGGCCTAGGGTAGGCATGTGAGTAAGGGGCGAAGATGGGGGTAGGGATGGGCAGGAACGGAAGTTAGGCTCCTTGGCTGGACATTGGCTCCTGAAGAGGAGCTAAGGGATGGAAAATCCTTTGCCGAAGAGCGGGGAGCCATCTCCTTGGCCTCTCCCTGAGGATTTGGGAGGACGAGGACTGAAGAGTTTCTCTTGGCCTGAGAGCTAACAGTTCTCTCTCGCTCAGCACCTAAAAGGTGCTTGAGGATGGGGAGGGGGACATGACCCGGCTCTCTTCCTCCCCACCCCACAGTGCGACCCCTGTGGCCTGCATTTCCGGCACAAGAGTCAACTGCGGCTGCATCTGCGCCAGAAACACGGAGCTGCTACCAACACCAAAGTGCACTACCACATGCTGGGGGGGCCCTAGCTGAGCGACGGGCCGGCCCCAGTCACTTTCTGGAAGCCAGGGAAGCTGCTGGCCCACCCCTGGCTTCTCTGTCAGATTTGGGCATGGGGGGTGCAAGGCCCCTCCATTCTCAGAAACTGCTACCACCTTCATTTCTCACTGGGGAGAGCAGGGGTGGCAGATCAGGATTCGATCTGCCTCTGTTTTGCTGGTCAAAACCTCTTCCCCCCTATCAATTGTTTCTGAGGAAAGAGCAAGCTAGGAACTGGGGAGGGAAAAGGTGGAGGCCTGGTTTTCGTAAGGGAACAGTCCTCCACCTGCAGTCCCCATCTCATTCGGTTTGTCTGTAAATATAATTTATTGAGGCCTTTGGGTGGCACCCGGGCCTTCATTCTATTGCATTTCCTAGCTCCCTCTTCCTAGTGTGATCGGTGACCTGAGACACAGAATGCGAGGTCACAGCTCTGCTGGCAGAGATTAGCACTTGGCTTGAGTGTTTTATGTTATTGTTGCTATAACTTCTAACTTTAGAATTGTTCTTTCTCCTATTTGTTTGCTTGTTGGTTTGTTTAAAATGGAAAAAGGGGTTCTCTGTGTCTTGCCCCTCCGATTCTAGGTCTGGAACCTCTATTTGTCCGAGGGCAGCTCTGGGAACATGTGGAATTTGTGGAATTGGGTCAGGAACCCTCTCTGGATTCTGGATATTCTAGGTCAGGGGTCCTCAAACTACGGCCCGCGGGCCACATGCAAATACAAATATTCCGTTTTCTTTTTTTAG